ATAAAATAAGCTGTAAAATTTCCATTCTCCACAGTACTTTCTCAATCTCTTGAGATTTTGTTTTCCAGCAATTATCATCAGTTTGACTCAAATAAACTCATAAAAATTATTATAGATTTGAACTTTTTGTATATCAACAAGGGACAATATCTTGCTTTATTTTGGTTTCCTAGGCAGCGTAGGGCTAAGAGTCTCAGACTCTTACATATAATATCAGCATGAGGATTCAAATATCATAATTTTGTGACCAAATATCCATGCCCTTCTTTAGACTGGTCTCTGACCCTGCTCGAGTGATTAGGTCACTTTGCAGTCTAGACTCTGACTCTCTACCTGGTCTACCTGAAGAACTACATTCCCTGTTTCACCACAAAACATGTTTTATTAATTTGTTTTGCAGACTCCAGGGGGAACTGAGGTGTTGGTTCCTGCCTTATGATCCTGCCTCTCCTGGTGAATATGTCTTACAGCTCCAACTGTTGGCCATAGTTCTGACTCTACCTGCTGCACAAGAGTTAACTAAAGCTACCAACTGTTCTTATCTCACAACCCTATTTGTTGACCACAGAGTCAGCTGACCTTAGAAAGTCCAGTTGCCCTCACCAATCAGAAAATGAATGATGCAAATTTATGTTCTTGTTTCCCTAGCAACCTATCCCTTTGACTCTTGCTTTTTAAACCTTTGCCTTATTCTTCCTACCTCAGAGCAAGTCTTCAGTTCAACACAAAGGTATTTGATTTGCAAATCATTCCTGAACAAAACACTGCTTAATTGCTCAGAAGAGCTCTGTGGAATTTCCATTTACATGCATTAGATGTGATCTTAGAGATCTAGTTCTACCCTGTCATTTTACAGGAAAGGGACTCTCCCAGAAGCACTGCCCACAGTCACATAGCCAGTTCCTTGTCCCAAGTCAGGCCTTGAATGGCTTTTCTCTTCTTCCACTGTCCTCTTTATATCATGGTACTGCCTCTGATTCTTATACAATAACATGAACAGCTAATTCCCCCTACCTATGAGGGTGGGAGAGAGCAGATGAATACCCCAAATAACAGACCCTCCCAATGTTGCAAATCCTCACACAGGCCTCCCTGAAATGGACTGAGTATCACCTTGGAGGGTAAGACAAGTGAAGTCCATCTATTATTACCTGTGTACCTTGCAAGGGATGGTCACTGTGAAGTAATGTCAGCCATGAGTCTATGTGGCTGAGATCTTAGCCACAAGGGCCAGAAAATAGGTGGGTATCTTCATTCAGGGCTTTGATGGGCTTAGAGAGAACACTTTCCCCAAATTCCCTAACTGGACCGATGTTAATGCTTGCTAACAAGCCATTTTTCTTTGTTATCTAGGACAATGAAGGCTGTATAAACAAGAACCATCCTAACAATTGGCATTATCGTATGGAGGGCATAGTACTAAGTGCTTGACATGCATTAAATTATTTAGTTAGTTATCTCCACAATGCTGTGGCATAGGCACTGGTATTCTCCCCAACTCACAGAGGAGAAACCAGTGAAATTAAGCACCCTACCCAAGATTTCACAGCCAACAGAGCTAGCGCTCCACCTAATCTAGACAGGCCTTAAAGGCTGCAACAGCATCAGCCAAGTGGCTTACGGTAAATCACTCACCTCTCAAAACTTCGGTTTGTGATGTCACCTGGGGATAATGATACTGTAACTTGGGGGGATCTGGCAAAGGGGAAGGACTCCTTGAAACAGGTTGGGAAGCACCACAGAGAGCAGAATTAAAGACCCACCTGGTGTTTGATAGGTTTCCATACCCTCAGGTAAAGGTAACAAACTAGTATGGCTCAAGACAGAGCTGGAGGAAGCTTGCACAGAGTGTGCATGGGCTGAAAACGTCACAACACACGTATACCCTGGAGGTTATCATGATGGCAGGAGGAGGGACAGAGATGCTGTGCAGGCTGATGAATGTGATGAACACTTGGCTGGGCTGGCTGGGAATTTGGTTGCTTTCACTGCATGTGGAATTTTGGGTCCAGACTTTTAAACAGAGGATGAGCAGAGACTTGCCCCTTTTTTGCCTTCCCCTCGCTCTCCTGGTTGGGAGCCTGAAGTGCGCACAGGACCCGGTGGATGCTGGGCTCCACTTGCCCCTTTTTTCTTTGCTCTTGTTCACCTGGTCAGGAGCTTGCTCATGCTGGGTCACACCCCACTGGCAGCAGCCCACAAAACACTGTGGCTCTGCACCATATGGGTCCAAGACAATGTCTTCTCTTGTTCAGATATCAGTGCAGGGATCCACAGGCAGGGACCCACAGTCCAGGGGCATGAGCAACAGTGGGCACCAGATTCCACAGATGGAAACCCTGGCATGACCAGTGGCATGGTCAGCAGTGGCCTGGAGCCCCAAGAAAAGGAAAGAAGTTGTGGCAAGGCAATGGCGATGCTGGCCCCACAAACGAGCACACCAGGGAGAGAGGGCTTGAAGCTGGAGACCCGTTCATGTGACAGAGATGGGTGGACACATATGAATGGAGTGGGTATCTGGACACTGACTGCAGCTCTGGGGGTGGCTGGGTTCTTTCTGTGTTTTGCAGAAGAGTTTGGCCTCGAGCTGAGGAGTTCCCACTTCCCCTAAGTTGAGCAACCTTTTAAGAAAGACCTTTTCCTTTCCCATCGGTCTTTGTGCTGCGCCTGTGTTTGGAGGCAAGCAGCCAAATCCCACTTTGTTGGGTCACAGTATCTGCCTCACAAGTGTGTCATGCTGGTTAGATATAATGCACGTAAAATGCTTAGTATACTCTCCACACTGCAACAAATTCTTCATACAAGAAAGTGATTTTAATGTCTTCTTTCTGTTATTCTCATTTATTATATAAAAAACATGGGAGAATAAATATATTCCTTCTCTTAGTGCTTCAGTGAGTATAAGAATGGAGAAGTCAATGAGGACACTGGGAGACCATGGGTTATGGACACAGTAGAGAACCCAAAGAAACCTTTGCAGCTTAGTCCAAGTCTGACAGTCAGCGAAAAATAGGCTATTATCCATTTCATAAAACTAGGCAAAGGATATTTATGGACTGGACAATAGAAAGCCTCATTTGATTAGTAAAAAGAACTATTCCGGGACACCTGTGGGATTCCCAGTGAAAAAGTGAGCTCCCTTCTATGGTTGTCATACAAGAGCCAGTACGTGGGCCAGTTACAGAGTGCCACTGCTGGCATTTTACACACATCCTCTCACCTAATCTCTCACAACAACTCCAGAAGGTAAGGATTATTTTGCCTATTTTATACAAGAGGATACAAACCTAAGTCTGCTTGATTCATAAACCCATGATCTTAAAACTGTGCTTACTAGAAAAAAACTTGATTGCATGTGGAAAACAATCAAAAGAGGAAATAGTATTATGAAAGCAGTTTTTCACAGATTTTCTAAGAAACCAAAATTGGAAACTAGAAACTCATTTCCTCTTCTCTCTCTCTCCCCACCTTTGCCCTCAGTCTTCTCTTTCTCTTTGTGGAACACATCTCTAATTCCTAAGTATTTTTGTAGAATCAGCCACTCCATACTTCTGAGGTTATATGCTACTGATCCATCTTCTTATGAAGATTCTTTTTAAGTTCCCAAGAGAATCATATTAGTCCAGTGTGAGCCAGGGGTCTTCTAATGTTCACAGTGGTTGGGTACCAGTAGAAACATGGCAAGCAGAAACCACCCCAGGGCATTGAAGGGCATAGAGAAAGGAGATTGATGTTTGGGGTGACGAACACTAGAAAGGTATCCTCTTAGCCATACTGCTTCCCTATAATATGTTCAAGCATTTATTCATTTCAGAAAATTCAAACCTGATATGACCTGCATTAACATAAGCATTAGTTGAGGAATGTGTAATAAAGATGTTAGGTGCCCAAAGACAATTGCTTTAGGCAGAGAAATCAGTAAACCTAGAATGTTTGGCAGCCAAGTAAAGTGCACCAGTCCATTTGCCTGATTCAAATATTTGTTTAGTTTATATGACAGTGCTGTCTGATGGGGGGAAAAAGCAAGCTACATATGTAATTTTGAATATTTTAGTAGCCATTTCTTTTTTAAATGAAAGGAAGGAGGTAAATTCATGTTAATAATGTATTTTATTTAACCTAAATCCATAATCTTATCATTTCAGCATGTAATCAATATTAAATAGTAATAATGATCTATTTTACATTTTTGTCCTAAGCCTTCAAAACTCTGGTTATGTGTGTTACATTTACAACACATCTCAATTTGGTTACAATATTTTCATTGGAAATACCTGATCGGTATTAGACTTCTTAAAATATACAGTTATATAAGTAGAGTTGTAATCACATGTTCCATTACTTTATACTATCATGAATTACATAGGATAAAATTAACTCATGTCATGGTTTGCAAGTATGTCCCACAGAACGGATCTATTGCGCTGACTGTTCCGCTTGTGCAGAAACAATCGTTAGTAAAACTGCCGTGCTGACACTGTGGGCCTCCACCCCAAAAGACAAAAATGCTGGAAGCTGGGAGATACATTCGTTCACCTCTTTGCGTAGTCTATATGACAACAAATAATTTTTTTCATAGATTGACTAAACAGTACTTTGGAAATTTTTGAGGGTGTTTGTTTGTTTGTTTGCATTTAAACAATCTAGTTTCCTTAGGAGTTCTTCTGAAATTCTATAATTGCTTGTGGGGGTCAGGAGATGCAGGAGATGCTGATGAGTGCAAATTACTGATGACAAAAATGCAAGCAGCTGACATTTGTCTCCTGTTGGCAATATTTGTGGACAGCAGGTATTAGCGAGAGACAATAGTCCGTGTGCAGACACCAAGGCAAGACTTCCAGGTTGAATGACAGGTCCTGAGCTACCAGTAGAAGCCATCTGGATAATGGTCTAAGCGTAAAATCCTGTAAAGACAACCCACATCTGACAATCTTTAGTCTGGTGCCAGGGAAAGTCTTCCACCAGAAAATATAGGTTCCAGTCCCTTTGGACTAGGGTTGTCACACTCTCCTCTCCTTGTTATTGCTGAGCCTGATGGTGCCTCTACTTTTCTTATGCTTTTTCTTATTAGTACTTTGACATAAAGAAGGTAGTGACAGCTCCATTTCCTTTTTCTTGGCATCCCAGTCTTGGTCCTGCTGGTCCAGAGGCAGCCCCTTTTGCCTGGCGGTGTGGCGGTAGTCACGGCACTCAGGCTCGGCCCTAGGAGAGAGGGAGAAGACAGCTCTCAGAGAGTGCTGAGGAGAGATGGCCAGACTTTGAAATGGACCTCTCTTCCCACCCTCTGCAAACAGCCTGCACACCTCAGAGGTCCAGTCCAAAGGAAGAAGGCCGAGTTCAAGCATTTCCAAGTGTACATTTAGGGAGATCTCAGACACTATAAAAACTGCTTGGAGGTGAAGAAAACTGGTGTGTAGGAGTGAAATATTAACAGAATCAGTTGGGCACTTAGCCTGAAGAATGTAGTGCTAATTCTTAAAGTGCTCACATTTTTACAGCAACCAGTATGTTATTAGATGCTGTTTTCCTTAATTTATTGGTATTTTTATTTTTCTTAATTATGAGTGCCATGTCTGTTCATTGTAAAAAGTTTAAAAGTACAGAAACATATAAGGAAGAAAATAAAAATGACTCATAATTATGTATGTACAGTATGTGTAGATGGATTCACATAAAGGATAGTTACTGAGGATAAGTAGGTAATTAGACAGATAGATAGATGAATAGATTGGCATACACACATGAACAGTGAGAAGTGTACATATGTGCCAATTTTTATATCCATCTTGCTTAAAGACATTGGTGAAAGCCACTTCAAAGAGATAAAATTTGAGCCAGTATGAGGACCAATGGAATTTAAGAGGAAACACAATGGTGCAGGAAGGGAGAACAGTATTTTAAGTGCAAAGCATTATACAAAGCACAGTTCATTCAGAGGATAGCAAATCTGTGTGTCTCTCAGCCCCCCTTCTCCCAAAAAACTGGCAGTGACCTTTCAATAATCATATCACATACATTGTGTCCCCCTCAATATTCAGTGTCCCTTCTCTGCCCTGCTCTTCTGACCCTTATCACTTTTTTCTTGTATTATTGTTATTTATGTAAATAAGTTACCTCCTCTCCCAGACAAGGAACATCTTGATGTCTCAGTACTGTATTGAAGTTATCTTTAAATCTTTTTTAAAATACAGTCCAATGGCATGCACATAGGAAGGCTCCAAAATATTTGTTGAATGAGAGATGTAGTGGTAGCGAGGCTGGATCAAAAGTTGAATTAGCTAGGATCCCCAGGATATTCTGAAAATTGTCAAATAATGTCTTGGCTTCTTTTAAAATCTCTTACATTCTTTCTCTTTATCATGCTCGCCCAGGAGCTCACTCAGTTGCAACATGAATTCTTAAGAAATTCCTTAAGCGATCTCCTTGCCTATAGTCTAAGTGCCTTCAATCTTATCTGCATAACACCACTGGCCTCTTCTACCAGAGGAGTGACTTTGCTGAAGTGTGTTTCAGCTTGTCAGTTCCCTAATGAGCTCACACTCATATGTTTGCCCAGCTCCATAAGGCCAACCACTCGCCCCCCCTGACCTTATTCTCCACTTCTCTTTGCCATTCTACTTTGCCAGGCCGCTCATTTTTTCACTATCCTCCCACCTCCTCACATTCAACCTATGCACATTTCCAACTTGGTAACTTTGCTCCCAATCAAGAATCTTTCTCCCTCCTTCATTGACCAGGCCTTTGCCGTCTTCCAAGGTCCATATTAGTTTCTCCTTAACCAGGAGGGGTTTAGTTTCTCTAAATCCCATGACTGTCAGATGAAAGTTCCTTATGGGAGATGATGATAAGTAGAGATGACTTACACATGATGCATATTTTTGTCTGCTCAGCACTTGCTGCCCACTTTGCCTGGTAATAGCACTCCCAACTATTTGGAGGAGCCACTCTTCCCCTGCAGCAGTTATTTTGGGGTGCCTTTCATGCTCAGTCACGCACTGGTCACTGACAGGGGCTGAGATCACTCAGAGAAAGTCAGTGGAGGAGAGCCAAAGACAGGACCCTGAGGAGTTTCACCAATTAAAAAGCATTGTTAAAATAGGATCTTAGGAAAAATTATGAGAAGAAATAGGTAGAAGGAGAATTAGAAGAGAGTAGCATCATCTAAAGCAAGAGACAAGAGTTGCAAGAGTATCAGATATCAAATTAAGTGGAGGTAATATGTGAATTGAGAAGAGGCCATTGATTTAGCAACAAGACTCCCTGGTAACATGGATGAGAGCTGATTTAGCACAATGATAAGTCTTACACTGTGTCCCATTTTCAAACTTGCTGTCCTACCTCTCTTATCTGAGATCATTTGTATATAATCTAAAATAATAATTATAATAATTATATGCCATGATATTAAAATTATAGTAATGTATAATTACAAAAACTATAATTTTGTATAGTTTAAAAATAATAGATTTTACATAATCTAACACACTATGGCTTCCCAGCTATCTGTTCCTTATATGTTTCTGTACTTTGAAATGACCAAATTAGCCATTTCAGTAAAAAGTTAATAAAAACAATTCAAACAAGAGTTGCCTGAATTTTCTCCTTTCATTTTCATTGACCTAAGATCACTGAGTCAGCAAAGATCTTGATCACAAGCTTCTGTTTCTCTATCCTTTCGGCGAGAAATAAACGGAACTTACTTCTCGAGGAACACCACACAGGCTTTCTGCCCATAGATCTGTGCTATCCTCTTTGGTGTGTCTCCAAAGAAGTCAGGGGCATCGATGGCGGCATGCAATGCATGGAGAGTTTTGAGCACGTTCAGATGGCCTGACTCAGCTGCAAAATGAGCTGGGGTCCAACCCACATCAGTTACCAGGCAGGGTCTGGCTCCGTATTGTATGAGGAGCTGCATCACCTCCATGTGCCCTTAGATGCACCAAAGAGCAAGAGGAGAAGATTCAGATTAATATGTCTCTGCCAGAATGAGGCCAGGGCTAGTTTAGATGGCTCAAAAAGGGGAAGAAGTTGGCCTTTGAGGCCTCTCCAGATTCCTAGTGTCCCTCCCTCCTCCTTTTTCTTCTCCTTAGGAGGCACTCATTGCCCCACCCTTATCCCCGAAGAACTGAGCTCTCACCCCAGCCCGAGGCCCTGTAAGTATTCCCTCTACCCCTTCCCAGACACTCCCCTCCCCATCTATTCCCGCAGCCCTGCCTGGAAATCTTGCTTTCTCTCCCAAGTCTCTCCACCCCTGCCTATGCTGGCACAGATAGGGTTCGCCGGTTTTGCCAGTCTCGAGGCTGATTTCAAAAACAAATATTTTGCTACAAAATGCATGGACCTTGAGGGCATTATGCTAAGTCAGACAGAGAAAGACATAAATGAGTCAGATAGAGAAAGATAGATACCATATGACCTCGCTTATGTGTGCAATCTAAAAAGACAGAAACCAAGCTTTTAGGTACAGAAAGCAGATTATATTGGTGAATTCTAGAGGTGGGGGGCGGGGTGAAATGAGTGAAGGTGATCAAAAAGTACAGACTTCCAGTTATAAGATAATTAAGTTCTGGGAAGGTAATGTGCAGCATGGTGACTATAGTTAATAATACTGTGCTACATATTTGTAAGTAGTGAAGAGAATAGACCTTAAAAGTTATGACAAGTAAAAAAGACTGTAGCTATGGATAGAGATGGATGTTAACTTGACTTTTTGTGGTGATCATTTCATAATATATACAAAAATCAAATCATTATGTTGTATACCTGAAACTGATAATAATATTACATGTCAATCACACCTCAATTTAAAATATATGAAGTCTCACCTACATTATAGCTAGGAAAGATGAACTGCACAGCTTTCTAGCTAGATAGATGGGGATGCACACCTGACAATAAATACCAGTTACTGATTATGGCACCCCAGACAAGCAACAAATGTCTAAGGTTCAGTTTTCTCATTTGTAGATTAAGGATATCACCACTTCCTTCACTGAGTTCTTGTGAAGTAAAAATAAAATCACAGGCATGAAGTACATATAGCATGTAGCAAATATTTGCTAAAAGGTGCTTTAATACAGCTACCATGACATTGTTCTTAAATTTTTGCAAAGTCCTCCCAATTGATTTCTCTGCAGCCAGTGTTGCCTCCTGCCAATTCATTCTTTATAGAAGAGACAAAACAAATATTTAAAAGCAAATAGGACTGTAATATTTTCTTAGTTAACAGTCTTCACTGATGCTCTATTGTAAAAGGCCTTGACAAGCCCATTGGCTGAATTTTTGCCACTATCCTCCTTCAATTCTATAACTGAGCTATGCTAGGCATGGGGAATATAGCAATGAACAGGACAAAGTGCCTATTCAGCTACAGCAATAACACTCCATTCTCATTGAAGTTCAAGAGGACAGAGGAGTAATATTAACTGAGAGCACCCTACATGCTGGGCACAGTGCACCCGTTATCTCATTGAACCCTTATTGCAAGATGCCAAGGTAGCATTATTGTTCCCATTATGCAAATGAATAAATTAAGGCCTGGAGACATTAAATAACTTAGTAAGGGGCTATAACTAGTAAGTGATAGTGCCGGGATTGTAATGTTCCCTTTGGCTCCCAAGAAATGTTCTTTCCATGTCTCCCTACAGACTACTGATCGGTGCCTTAATGAATGGTGGACTCAGGGGGATGGGTTCTACCTAGGCATTGTCCATTCACCTTTGATTGCAGCCCAGTGAAGTGGGGTTCGGTCATTCCAGTCCACGTCCTTGTAGTTTGGGTCACAGAGACCTTTCTTCAAAATCTTTTTCACTGAATTGTAGTTCCCTGCAGCCACAGCTTGGTGGAGCTTTGTCATGTCTGACATTTTGGTCAATTCCATGACAAAAAAACAACTGTGGGAAAAACATACCACTTAGGAAATTCTCTGCAACTCTTTCTTCTTGGTGAGGATTCTGTATCATAAATTTGCATCCAGGGTTGCCTCATGTGTGTGCTCTGCTGAGTATATTTGGATCTTAGCTCCTATGGTTAGCTCATGCCAGTCACCTACCCAAATCTATCAATGGCTCCCTTCTGCCTCCAGGACTACAGGCTACAGTCATGGGCTGGCACTTGTTATTTGTCCTCAAACCACTTTCCAGCGCTAGTACTGTGCAATTGTGCAATTCTGTGCCTCATACTCCTCAGCTGTGGAACGAGTGTCATCTGCCAGGGTTCTTGTGAAGATACAGTGATAATCCACGTGAAGAGTTTAGACTGAATACAGAATATATACTCCATGGAAATTAAATATTATTGCTACATCAGTTCAGGAGATGGACAAAATATAAATATACAAATAAAATGGCTAAAATTATTTACAACATTAAGACAGAAACCAGCAATTCTCAAACTATTGTCTATAGATGCTTGGGAATCCCTGAAAGTCTTTCATGAGGTTCATGAGGTCAAAATGACTTTAGTTATAATATCGAAATGTTATTGGCCTTATGCACAGTGCTGACAATTGCCTTGATGGTTCACAAACAAAGGGGTAGAAAAACTGGTGGTGCCTTAGCAGAAAGAAAGGAGCAGTGGGCAGTAGCCCCCAACAGGACTCGTCACCATGGTATTCTTTACTGCCACACAGGTGCAGTTTAAAAAAAAAAAAGCTAGTTTCAGTAAAGAAACTAAAGCAGTAAGAATTATTAGATTTTATAATATTTTTACCCTTGATTACATGACTTAATAAAAGGGATTTTAAAATAATGAAATATATCAAACTTTGGAAAGTCTACATAACTCTATGAACCAATATTTTCTGTATGACAAGGGTATGATGTTACAAAATTGTGCATGAGTAAAGATATCCATTCAAAATAGGCCAATGGATTTTATTCTAATGAGTTTTAATTTAGAATATGAAAAACACACTGAGATCATTTTATATTCCAACTAATATTTAAAGCACTACCACTTATCCAATTTTGGTGTAGAATCAAAGAAAAATATTCACAATATTTGAAAAGTGTATAAAATACTCCTCCCTTTTCCAACTTCATATATGTGTGAAACCAGATTTTCTTTATATACTTCAACCAGAACAACAAACTGAATGCAGAACAGATATGAGAATACAGCTATCTTCTATTAAGCCATATATTAAAAAGATTTGACAAAAAAGTAAAACAATGCCACTCTTCTCACATTTTTTTGTTTTAGAAAAAGTTATTTTTCATAGAAATATTTATATTATTCTCTATTATGCTTATTATGATTTTTGCAAATGAATTAATACACATTTAAAGATTTTTAGTTATAATTTCTAATGGGGTAAATATTGATAGCTATAATCCACATTTAGAAAAGCTCCCTTTGGGATCCTCAGTAATTTTTAAGAATGTGAAGGTCTTCCGAAACCAAAAAGCTTGAGAATTATTGACCTAACAAAAAAAAGGGCAGAGATACAGGAAAAAAAAAAAAAGAATGAGAAGAGAACCACTTGAAAAGGGGCCATTAGAAATGTATCTTTGATCTCAGGACTGAAGTTGAGATCTTTAGAAGCTGGAGTCAAGTACAAATTGTGGCCCAGCAGCAGCCGCAGCCAGGACATTTTAGAAATGCAAATTGTTTGGCCCCAAATCAGACCTGCTGAATCAGACGCTGGGATGGGAGGAGCAATCTATGTTATAGTCAGTCCTCCAGGGGAGTCTGATGTATGTGGACATATGAGGGCCATCCCAGAGTGGGAGAGAAGGAAGTAACATAATTCACATGCAACACCTGAAGTGTTTTGATGGTGGTGATTTTCTGGGGACAGAAGGAAAGGACCATTCACCAAGACTAGGAAGTAAAAGGCACTTCTCTCTTTGAAAGCAACCTAAGCTGGGTCCCAAAAGAATGATGAACAAGATAGAAACAGAGGCTCAGGCACATGGAACAGACTGGAAGCTGTGAGAGGGGAAAGGGAGGGGGAGGGCTAGATGGAGAAAGGTGAAGGGATTAGCCAAAGAACGTGCATGCGCAACCCACAGACACAGACTACAGTGTGATGACGGTCAGAGAGAAGGAGGGCAAGGGCAAGAGAGAGGTGAGCAAAGAGAAGGAAAATGGGAACATCTGTAATAATACAGGCAAAAAAAAAAAGAAAAAATGATAGAACATTGAATAAAGTTTCGTTTTGTTATGTAAAATAATCCTGGAAAATAGGACAACTAAATATATCGTTGTTGTTATAGCTCTAAGTTGGCTTATGTCATTTAGTTGAGGGGATTTCTTATGCCATGTAGTGCTTAATAGCATAAAGTCAAAATAAAAAATATTTTAAATACGTTTTATCAGCTATAATTGAAATATAATTAAAGCCACAAAAATTATTCTCTTAGTATTTTTAGAAAGGATCTTCTTATGGTAGTGCTGTGTATTTATGTATCTGTGTGTTTATTATGATTTAAAGAAAATCATCTTTTGATAAACTAAAGATACCCTATGTGGAATAATTAATTGCTTCACTTCTTTTAAAAATTTTTTTTAATTTAAAGATTTTATTTATTTATTTTTAGAGAAAGGAGAAGGGAGGGAGAAAGATAAGGAGAGAAACATCAATGTGTGGTTGCTTTTTGCACACCCCTTACTAGGGACCTGGCTCGCAACCCAGGCATGTGCCCTGGCTGGGAATCAAACCAGGGATCCTTTGGTTCACAGGCCAGTGCTCAGTCCACTGAGCCACGGCTAATTGCTTCACTTTTTAAGCAAACTATTTTGGGCACTTCCATTGTACACACAAAATCTTATACTTTTTGTTATAAACTCATTCAAGAATTTCATCCAATGCTTTGAATGTTATAGTTCTATTTTAATATTTTAAATTAAATTTATTTTTAAAAAGTAAAATAAAATAAAAGCAGACAGAGAAATAAGTCACCCCAGGCACTGACAGTGGTGCAGGGTCCCAGCTCAGGCACAGCACGTCTGTGGCGGGAAGGCACACTCTACCAAGTGCAAGTCGCTTCACCTTTAATGTGTAGACCAACGGTCCACAAATTTCCTTATATAAAGCTAGATAGGAGGTTGTTTTAGGCTTTGTAGGCCAAGAGGCAGAATCAAGACTGCTTTGTAACAAGAAAAACTCCTGCCCGGTTTCCCAAGGATGTGCCCTCCTGGGGGAGGAAAAGCTGGTGGTGGTGGGTGGGCATGCTTGGTGACCAACACCCCTCAGCTGGAGACATTCTCAGGGCGAAGGGCAATGCCCAAGTGGGAGGGACTGGCCTGTGGGATGGCCCCTTTCATTCTGTCCCAGGGACGCCCAGATCCCAGCATGCTCTCTCTCCTCTCCAAGATCCCGACTGTCACATGTTGACAGCTGGCACGAGGCAAGGTGACTTCACTGGGCTGCAAATCCACTGCTCAGTGCCCTGTAGTTGTCAATGGCAGAGTCTCCAAAGTGTAGGTGGTGACCAGAAGGGGCCTGAGCAGTGGCTAGGCACCCCGGTGGCCCAGGAGACAAGTGCTGGGAGGAGATGGGAGACTGGGGAGACAGAGAGTGACCCCCGCTGGCTCTCCGAGGCTCACAGTGCTTGCCCAGTGAGGCCCACCTCCTCAGGTGGTGACCATGAGCCTGCCAAACACAGGGAGGGAGCCAGACTTGGCCTGTAGATTACAGTTGTAACGACCTCTGGTATCTATAAAGCACCTGAGACCTTGTTAAAATGGAGATTCTGATTCAGTAGGACTGGGATGGGGCCTGAGATACTGCATTTGTAAAAAGTCCCCGTAGCAACTACTAGTTCACAGACTACACATTGGATAGCAATAGCTCTCTAGCTACAAGCAGGGGAGACAGCTGAAGTAGGGTAGAAGCAGTCTAGCTGAGTCGCTGGTGGGTTGAAACAGTAAATGCCTGACCCTCAGCCCAAAGTTGTTCAGCATCTCTGAGTGTGTAGAACAAGGACATGCCTTTTAGCATGAAGTGGGTGCTCTGTACATATGTTAAGTAACAGAAGATGGTACAGGATTCTAACTTTTTGGATTGTTTGTTTACATAGGAAAACCCTTATGCTGGAACATTCAGTCAATGATAAAATAAAATAAACAAAAGTACCAGGTGGTTTTTAATCTGCAGGTATCACAAAAAGCCAAACCACTTTTAGAACCAGTGTGTGGAAGCCTCTTTGCTTGCCATTCACGCAAACCTTTTTGCAGGTTTACATTTAAATAAACCCTACTTGTTCCAATTTGAGTTCATATCAAGGAAATTCCACAACTTCCCACAGATAAATGATAATTGAGGTAAATGATCTCAATGGGTAGGTAGCTAAATTTATTTGCAGAGAAATTGATGAACTGATCCTAAAATCTCATGGAAGCATGAGGGACTTGGAATGGCTAAAGCAAACTTGAAAAAGAAGAACGAAGTAGGATTCACACTTCCTGATTTCTAAACTTACTAAAAAGACAGAGTAATTACCACAGTGTGGTACGAAGTATGCCGTGTGACGTAACGAGAGATATTTAGAGCAGTGGAATAAAACTGAGAGTCCCAAAATAACTTTACATTTATGGTCAGTTGATTTTCAACAAAGGTACCAGAAAAATTCAATGGGGAATAAATGTTCCCTAATGTTACTGACATAATTGGATATCCACATAACTCATGCCATATACAAAACTTAACTTAAAATATATCACAGGCCCTAAATATATGTCCTAGAACTAAAACTGTTAGAAAACATGGAGGTAAATCATCACATTGGGTTAGGCAGTGGTCCACAGGTAGAACAACAAAAGGACAAGCAATAAAAGAAAAATTTAAATAAACTGTATTTAACTAAAATTAAAAACTTTTTTCTGTAAATGATACATTTGAGAAAGTATAGAGCTATAACAGAATGGGAGAAAATA